TTTAATGCTATTATAATAAAAATCTGAATTATAAAAGATTAGTTTCTTAAACTGTCAACATAATCGCTTCTCCGGGAAAATTGTTACTTGAAAACAATTTAAAACAAGTAATTTAAATATTTATAATACAATCTTGGCAGTATATCTTCGCTATACTTTTGCGAAATAGTGCCCATGGTAGTGTTGTTTGTTTCTGAATAAAACATAAGGGTCAGAATTTGGAAATGTACAGGTTACAATGTAATTTTGTTATATCTCTTTAAACATGCTATCACTTTGGTTGCATAACAGGCCTTTGGTTTCTGTGCTGTTACATATTCCAGTTTTGCAGTGTGATTCGTTTAATTCTCTATGCTTTATATAGCTTTAATATTCTTATTAAACAAATAGTTGTGAGCATTTGTCTTTTTTAAGACTCCAAATAAAGCAAGGATGTTCATATAATAAAATACACTATATACAGTGTCTCCTGTACATCTCTACATTGGTTTTGGCAGAAGGAAGCTGACAGAAATTTATATAAGTCACTGAATCCCTTTACTGTCCTGTACTGGCAAACACATGGCTCTTGATCTTTCTGTTGCCTTTCTTCTAATTCTCAGCTATTAGATTTGTCCCTTCCCTAGAAAAATAATAAGCTAGCTGATGTATGGGGAAAAAAATATATATATATTAGTGGGTTCTCCTAGCTGAGTTTGTTATAAATGACTTACTTCGTGATCCCATCTCTCCCACACAGAAATAATCTGTAAGAAATGAAATGTGACAGCCCCAGAATGGACGCAGAACATAATCTAATGAATAACACAACTATTTATTGAGCAGATGTCTTTAGTGACCACCAAAAACCCTCCATTTTCTTTACAGAGCTCCGTGTTTACACCGATTGTTACTCCTTTTCCCCTTTGCAGCAGGACTCATTGAAAAGCAGTGCTTTTTAAAAGTTCCCAAATGTCAAAGCAAAGAGAAAAGTAGGTACAAGACCCTTCTTCAAAAATGAGTACCTATATTCTGCCCTCAAGAGCACTGCAGATGCCACGTGGATTGTTGGTAAAGACTTCAAAGTGAGCAAGAGAGCAAGAGTGAATGAAACTTAAGGGGAAGACTTCTTAAGTTCCTCCAGTCACAATATCAAACTTGGCAGAAGACAGGAGGCAGCACTTGCAAATAAAACTTTTCATGATGGTACCTGTAGAGATGCTAGCTTGCATATGTTCTCTAACCCAGGATGGAAATACTTTGACCTTAAAGTATTACTCTGAATACAAGCAAAAGAATATTAAGGAGTATTTACCACAAATACTTCGCTTTCAGAGCAGTGCAAATATATCTGAAAATGGTTATTTCCTCCCGCCCTGAAAAAAGTTTAAAAAAAAAAAAAAAGTGAGGACAGTATGGTATTACTTTTTGATACTGCAGACTTTAGATATATAACCATACAAATCAAAGACTTAAATTACTGAGTTTTATGGAATAAAAGTATTGTCTTCCATCTGTCATTGTCAAATGTGTTTTTCAGATGTCTTACAGTCATAGAGCTTTCGTATTTTTTTTTCCAGTTTAGCAGTGTAAGTTTCCTATAATGGATACCGAATTCAGAGATTCAAGGATGCAAGTAGATGCAGACCAGATGTGTGTCTGTGGCCGGGGATGGGAGCAATGAAAAATCTCTCTTCTGCTACATGTTCTAGATTGCACTGTCCAAATGAAGAATAGAAGACAATAGCACTCTTAGAATTTCTAGTAAATCTGCCTTTCATATTCCCATAACAGTCTTAATAATAATAAATCCATTGGTAATACATTTTATTTATTTCTACTTGATATTTTCCTACTTATAAAGTTAAGTTTCACACAGTTTCTCAGCTATAGCACCATGTAGGAGCCATATGTATGCTATGGCCTTATTCACTATTCATCAGAAATGCTTTTTAATATCCCTACATTTCTCATTGTTATCCTCCATATTGTGCCTATGAGAAATTCATCTCTATTTCCTTAGTTTATGATTTTGCTATATTGAGATGCATGTTTTTCAAATGAGTCCATGATAACAGCAAGCTAGACTGGGAGAATACCTGGAGGCTAAAATTAAGACTAAAATGTAATAGAGGATTTTAATTCTATTTTACATTGGATTTTAGTATTAGATTTAAACTAGCTTATAACTGTCTTGCACTCCATAAGAAACTTTGTGTATTTCATCTACAGTAATATTATGCTCTTTTCAAAAGCAATACTAGTTGATATGCTAAACCATAAATAACCTTCCAAAGCTTCCTGCCTTTACTGGTACGGCACAATCAAATTGTCTCATTTTCCTTCAGTGCAGAATTTATTGTAAGGAAGTTCTTGGCAAAATATCAAACAAATTTCTATTTGGCTGTGCCTCATCGAAGGAACTAGCATGTTGAGTAACACTTGATTTACCTGACTGGGCAAAGATTCTGCTGTTACTGTTAAGAAACTTAGTCATTTAGGAGACCTCTTAATTTAACTTGGCTGTGAATAACAGGAATGTAGGCACTCTGTACACAGCTGCAAACATTTTCATAAGATTTTTCATCCAAGGAGCAATATATAGAGGCTAAAGTATCTTAGGTTTCCAATAAGAAGCACTCTTGATCAACAAGAATTTGATCTGGCTGTTGGCTGTGAATAACAGGAATGTAGGCAATTTGATCTGGCTATGAAAATGGTTAAGTTTAATATAATTGGTGGTTTGTTTTTGGAGATACATTCACAAAAAGCCTTTCAAATGTGTGTCTTCACATAGGTATCTTATTATGTGAGAATCTTATTTGACAATACATTTTTAACCTACTTTTACCCCTAAACAAAATAAACAAGGGTAATTTGCTGGAGCATTGAGAGTCAAACCTATGTGACATACTGATGATGCGTCCAAGGAAGTCACTGATGGTACTTCCTCATGGATCATGGATAAAGCATTTCAGCTCACTTATGGTATCTATTGTAGTGAAGAGAAAAGTCATCACAGAAAGCTCTGGAGTTTATGGTTCAGTGCTTGCTTATTGGAAAACACACAAATAATATAACTTATCTCTATTTTGTTCATTCAACAGAGGCATCAAATTCTTCTATAAAATAGTTTTGCATTTAATTTTCTTGTCAGAGAGTCTAAAATAGAAGCTTATTATTTTATAATTTGACAAGCCTAAATACTGACTTTCTCTGTAATATGGTGTCATCTCTGCAGCACTTCAGACCCCTTTTTTGAAGTATTAAATATGAATAGCTTTGTTTTTTCAAAGTGTTTAGTGTTTTCCTTCCAGTGTTGTGCATTTTAAATAAAGCATATTAAGTAAGCCTATTATATTGCATACACTTTTGCTTGACATATTCAAGTTTAAGTCACTGTCTTTTTGACTGTTCCAGAGGATTTCTCTTTGTCAAGCAAAATACAAGTCTTAACAGTCTGGTCTCTAGTATTGTATTTAGAAAAAAGCCTAAAGAAACTATACCTGAAATAATATGCTCTTTGAAAGTCAAGCTTCTTTTACCTTCATGGAATTTTGACTAGAATGTCTTCCTTAAATGTTAAGGAATTAAAAAAAAAGTTTGATTTTATATCCCCCAAAATATGCATTTTTTAGCCAAAATACATCTTGAATACTCAGATCCATTCCATTGACATAATCACATGTTCAATCAAAGCTCGGCTATGTTATATCCAAAGACTCATTAGTTCTAATTCTATATAAAGGTAAGAAATTTCTGAGGCCATTTCTGAGCTGGTAAAGGAAATTGTTGTTCCTGAGTGTTTCTAATAGTAGTTATAAAAATTGTAGCTTTGTTGAAATAACTGTGTTGGTTCCCAGTGCTTCACTGGGCATAGGTATGAAATCCAGGTTTATGATTCCAGGTATCCTTTGCCTATGCTTTCCATTTTCACAACGCAGGATAATTTGTTCTTATACCAGCAAATCAGTTGTACTGTAAGCAAACCCAAAGCGAGGATGTCTTTACTGGTTTCTCAGTGATAAGTGTGTTTTTTTGTGATCAGTAGCATCAAGTAACTGGGTGCACACAGTTTATATATTTATAAAATAATATAATTTTGTCAGATATATTAATTGTATTAAATCTGTATCCTTAAATACAGATCCAGGTTTCTGTTTTGTTTTCTTTATTGCCAAGGCACAAGTCACCTCTAAGGTGCTATTGGTAGCTTAGCATTTGAGCAGACTGGTATAATGACAGCTTTTTTACTGGATGGTGTTCTGTCATTATTGTTTTTTTTTCAGAGAGCTCTAATTATAATCCAGACATTTCAACTGGCGTGGGTGGAAACTTGGCAGGTGGAATATTACTGCGGGACCAATTTACTCCTCCAATTTTTGAAAATATTGGTTTAGATGCATTTGTTAAATTGTGGAAATGCCAGTCTAGCTTGGGGTATTTTAATAGCGTATTATTTAAGATCCTATAAAATTAAGAGGTAGTACTTAGCATATCATCTGCATGACTGGCACTGGTAAATCAATGAGAAAGTGGAGATTAGTGTGTACGTATGGCATGAGGGTGTCCATTAAAAGTTGTTTTCTGCAAGGCCCTAGGAAGGATAATTAAATTATTTGTATCCATGTGTAGCTCAAATAGCCAGTTAAAAAAAAGACTAATTTTTGGTTCTTGCAGCTTGAGTTTTTCCATGAGCTAAGGTAAAGAAAATTATCTTCAGAAAAGCCATTTTTTTTGTCTAGCTGCCCAAGTCAGTGGACTCTTGTAAAATACGCTGTGCTGAATCTTTCATCAAATGGTTATCCATCCACAGAAGATTTGTCTTCTAGTAGATGAGATGGAATTTCCTAAGTATAAATGACTTGTTCTGCTGATACATTGAATTCATTTTGTTACCTAGGTTGATGAGGTTACTACATTTAATGGAATATTTGGAACTAAGCTTTCTGTGGTAAAATTCTGTGGTAGAAATTTGGAAAAAAAATAAATAGGTAGTTTTGTTTTCTTCATCCTCAGCAATGTGCAATATTAGAGTAAGTGCTGAAGATGATTCTGGTACAAAAAGAGAAGAAATAAAATGCTTAGTGACCACGATCGCTGAGTCAACAGTCACCCTCCCTCAGAGCAAGCGAGAGCATCTGCTGCAGCTTTGGGATCCTGAATCTGGGGGTATGCTGGAGAAAGCTAGCAGTGGGTCTCGTCTCACAGATACTTCTGTGAGTCTTTTTATACTTCTGTTGTTACAAAAAATCTTATCTGAAGCACCCCCATTTTACTTACTCATACTTTTCCAGCATGGTCAAATGAAACCATCTTTTTTTTTACATTGGGGAGGCCAGGAAGCAGTCCTTTTGCTAACAGATCTTCCATAGGCTTCCCAGAAATCTTTGTCTACATTTTTTTTATTCTACACCCTGCTTAAAGTATCACTGTGCCTTCAGCAAGGATGTTGCCTGAGGCTCAGATGTGTTTCCAGCAGAAATCCTTGAGTTATAGCATTACTGCAGTCTATAAAAGCAGTGTCAGTACTGTGCCTACTCGCTGGTTGTCTGTGACCTCTACCAACACTTTTGACATGTCTTATTAAAATAAATCCTACTGATTCCATTCTTTTGGAGATGTCTCTTATGCTTCCATTGAGATTTGTCAATTAAAATATGAAAGAACCCTGACATTTGAATTAGCAAAGCTGAATCCTTGTATCCAGGCTACGAGGTTTTGCAAAGCAGTTTCTGGAATCATTGCTTCATTAAGGACCTTTACATTGTAAAGCACTGACACAGTCCAATCTGAATATTTCAGAGGCATATGAATTTGTATTAAGACTAAGGTTAAACCCTTGAAACAGCTCTTCCTATTTCCTCATAAAAAGAAATTCAACCTAGAAGACCAAATTTAAGCCTAGGAAACAAAAGACTTCAAAGATAAAGACTTTCACCGCACTTCAGCTATATTTTTTTTGCACACTCGATTAGGATGTGATTAGAGCACAGCTGTATTCCACTCACTGATGTAGTCTTTTGAAAGACAGCATTTCTGCCTGATATGGTTGCTCTGGGTTTTGCGTTGCTATATTGTTGCATTTTTTATGAAATATGAAAGGCTTTAAGTAAAAATGTTAAAGACTGTACTGGTGCTTTCCTGAAACAGTTTCTTTTCACATCTCTTGAGTTTGCTCACTAGGCCATGGTATGCTGAAGAACAATCCAGAACTGTCTGTCTTTCCATTCTAGAAATATTTTGTTGATCTTTGAACTTGTTTAGTAAGAAAGTGAAAAAAAAATTCTATACAAGTTAAAAATCAAAATAATACAGAGGATTTAAGGAGCAGAAGTTGTCAAACTGACTTTAAAATCTTCACGTTTCTTGGCCTATCTATGTTTAAAAAAACATCCTTCAGATTGGCATAAATTACTCTGTATCTCTTGTAGCTTCTGCTACTTCTCAACAACAAGCCTGTATAAATAAAGCAAGCCATTGAGCTCTGTATCATTTCTTCAACAACTGATTTTTAACATTTTATTTTCTCTTTTTAAAGAATAAAAAACCCTCCATATTCCCCGGAGAGAGGTTTACTGTTCAGTTAGCTTTTCAGATTAAGATGCTTGAAAGAGTCCAGTCTGACAATGAATGTAGTAAACAGTTGCAATTTTTAAGATATTTTCCTAAGAAACTTGGTCACCTTTATGAGTGATATTTGACTAGCCAAGCCATGGAGAAAATGCTGTCGCCTTATCTGATCTGTTCGCCACTTCTAAGTTTTCAGAGTATTTTAAGGCCTAAATTAAAAAAAAAAAAGAAAAAAAACCTGCTCACTTTGGAACAGTTTTAAAGGACTTTGAGTGACTAAAAAGTAGAGCGAGCTGTTTGTATAATGGGCAGTTGCTTCATGAACTGCTGTCATGATTTAGGATACAGGAGGAAAGACTATTCTGAAACTTAAAAAAAATCATTATTTCTCAAGGTTTTCAATAAATATTGGAAAGAAATGATGCAGAAAAAAAATCGTTTCCTTTTAAAAGCCCTTGCAATACTCAATTTTAAATGATTTTATAATGCTTCAGTGTGCAACCATTTTGTTCAGGAACATGCCTCTCTTTTCCTTTCCATTCATTGTGATGACTCTTAAATGTTTTTCCCTTATCTGTAGATTGTTGGCATTTTTTCTTTCATCTTTCAAGAGGTACTAGATGCTATCTAAAACTGAACTGTCAGTCTGTGAGCTAGAGCTGCCAAAGTGCTTAGGAAGTTCAAGTTGAGGTCCAGTGGCAGGCATCCGATGGAAGATTATTGGGAATCACGAACCATAGCAAGTGGTGACACCCCAAATCATCTGCAATATCTGCCCTTCCTCATCTTACAATACAGCAGCAGATTTTTTTTTTTTCATTTGTACCTATCCATACAACTTTTGGACCTCACATTTATGAAATCTGATCTTGAACTGATTTTAGGATGCCCAGACATACAAAGACTTTGTCATGTGGTTTATAGGTTAAGGCTATTTGGCTATCATGATCTTTAAATGAAGAATGCAAGGTTGAATGAGGTATTAACATCAGACGAGAGCTACATAGGGAAAAGAATGGGCTTCGGTTTCTACTTATAAACTGAAACTTCACCAGAATAGATAGTATGCTGTTTTCAAGTAATTTAACAACTGGCTCTAGGGATGGCAGTGTGGCTCTGTGCATGTGTAACCTAACCTACTTCCCGTAAGTAGATGTGTATTAGGATACACAGACTATTAGGACTGTCTTGGATGTGTTTTAGTAGTCCATTAGTAGTTTAATGCACACCATAGATGTTGATGGTCCAAGAAGAGCCTCTGAGGTGTGTACTTACGGTTTGCCAAAATACACCCCAGCGTGTCTTAATGTTGTAGTATAAGACATAAACAGCCATTATCTCTGTTTCAATGTCTGCCCATAAAAATGTGAATTTAAGGTAAAGAAACATCTGTGGGATTCTTGGGTATTTTTGATTTTTATTTAATCCATCTTTGCTCTTGAATCTTTTCTCAGTAACCTAATGAATGAGAAAATATTCTCCCTCTGCTTCTCTGCCCCCTGCCTGTTGCCTCCGTCTTAGTCTGAATTTATTTTTAGCAAACATTAATGAGAAGTTAACAGGCACTTTAAAAATAGAATAAACAGACTAAAATAATGTTTCAAGATTATAATTTGCATATCTGTTAGTCATCTGTATCCTATAAAAACAACCATGAGCCCATCTCTTCCTCAATGAAAAAATAAGCAAAAGACTCACAAAATAAAGTGATTAAACAAAAAAGAAGAATTTCATATCTTTGTGCACTAAACTCAAATTTCTGTTACATTGCTAGAGCATGACAAAATAGCTGTGAGATGTGGAATATATCAGAGAGGAGAAGCAGTGCAAAGACAGTACAAATGGGAGCTAGTCTGAGAACTTACTATTTTGCCTATCAATCAGGAAAATAACATTCGTCATGATATTTAGTTCTAAAGGCAGATGGTCCTTGTCCCCTATAGCGAATAATATGGGTAAAATGTCTTGCAGAGCTGTAAGTTTTAAGTGTTATGTGAGTTTCCGTGGAAGATATAAGAGGAACATCTGTGAGGCTGTACTTTGTCTTCGGTTCTGAGTGAAATACTGTAAAGTACTGCTGCAAGTTGACCTCAAAAGCTACCTGTTTCTATGAGCGTGGGACATGAAACTGGAGGGAGTTCTTATCCAAGAGAAAACACTCTGATTTGTAACGTTATGGAGACAGGAACTTAGATGCATCTCATTTGCAATTTGCAATCATCATCACCATCATCATGACAGTTTGCCTTTAAAGAGCAAACAGAGTTCTCAGTGCCATATGTGTCAGGAATGTAAAGCCAAAGCTTGACCTTCAGGAACATAACTTTTCATCAGAGAAGGGAACCTAGGGAAAACCATTTATATTCTATTACATATTAAATAATAATAATGATAAAGCTTATAATGAGTTAGGCAAGAGCTAAATAACAATGTTGCCTTTTTAATCTTTTGGTTCCATCATACTCGCTCTTGCTTTGCTTAGACTTCTGGCTCTTCAGGACCATGATCATTCCTTTATTTGTGCATGTACTGAGCATAATTAAATATGGTTGTTTTGTTTGGCTGAAGTTCTCATATGCCAGAGCAATGCTAACAAATGCTAATACTAATAAAGGCCTGAGCTACCTTCTGAAGAACATCTATAATCTTATGTCAAGGAGCCACATCTTTAAGCAAATTTATATCACAGCCCCAATTGATTGATCTGTCAGGATGGTGCCACACTGACCCTGGGAAATCTTCCTGAGTTGTTTCCAGACAACTCACACTGTCCTGATTCTTTCTCTTCTGCCACATTTTTGCTCAGTTGTAGTTTGTTGGTGGACTTTCATACAAAATCTGAAAAAAAGCCAGCCTGTGTATTCCTTTTCTACTGACTGGTAAGCACAGAGACAGATTGGTGGTTTCTTGTGGATGAAGTTGTTGTCTAGAAGTGGCTACCTTGCTCTCTTCTCTAATATTAGCTTTGATATTAACAGTGTAATAATCATCATTTAATGCTTTTAGATTGTCTATCCGTATCTGTGGGAAATATATCCGTAAGAGGCTTTGACACAAAAAAAAAGTTGGAATTTATAATTACATTGTTCAAAGCTTCATATTATCTACAACTAATTTATTAGAGGTATATTTAGTATAGTATATTTCAGTATGTGGAACAAATCCCTTCCACAGCATCTGCGTCTCTGAATGATTACCGAATAGATTTTATATACAATATCTGAAACAATTTCAGAGTCAGAGATACTGTATAGTCATCTTAGTACTTTCTTTGCTCATAATTTTCACTGTTTAATGCTTCACCTCTTAAGATTCTTTTGTCTGGAATGGGGCTGGTGCTGTGGTTTACTTGGCTGTAAAAAAAATCAAGTAAGTGACAAAAAAGTGCATGTTCATTGTTTAAGAGAGTTTTGGCATTCCAGATTTAGAAATATTCTGTTTCCAAGATATCATTTTCTTGTTACATATGTTCATATTTCATAATCCAAGATTATATTTTCTTATTTCTTTTAAGAAGGACTAAGTTCTTTAATTGTGTGCATTTAGGAATCTTGACTGCTGGTAGTATAGCACATTATTGGAGATTTAGTAGTGAATCTTTATTTTCATTTGGAGCCTATCTGAAAATTCTTGATGTTCACAAAAC